GTGTCTGTTGACATGTGTTTGTGTCTCTTGACATGTGTTGTGTCTGCTGACATGTGTTTTATCAGGTCACATGTTTTCTTAAAGGTACAGTGTGTAGAATTTTGTGATATCTAGTGTTGAAGTTGCATGTTGCAGCTGAACACCCCTCACCTCACCCTCTCCTTCCAAACATGAAAAAGAACCTGTGGTAGCTTCAGTTGTCATAAAAACTCAAAAGGTGTTTAGCTTGTCCAGTCTGGACTAATGTAAAAAAACATGGCAGCCTCCATAGAGAGGGTCCCCTCAATGTAAATATAAAGTATTTAAATATAAAGGGTCTTTTCTGGGCTAAAGAAAACAACAGTCGTAGCTATCAGCTTCACATCTTCTCTAATGATGCCAGCTAGCTGCTGTAAGCTAACTCAGCCGACTCCTCCCTCGCAGCGACAACATCAACAGACAGACAGACAGTACCTGTCCAGTAGAACCAAAGCCAGCTCGGCGTCTTTCTCTATCCCCAGCCTGGTCCGGAGCGCCCTCCATCTTGGGAAAGCGAAGCCGATGTTCACCCGGGTCTTCGCTCGCTGGTCGTGCACTAAGCGCTGCTTCCTCTCGGTTTTTTGTCGCGCCTCGGGCGTCATCGCGGGCACGGAGTCCGCGGGAGGCTGCGCGCCGTACGGGAGCGAGTAGAGATGATCCATCACGAGAGAATACAATCACAAGAAGAAATAAACACCATCATAATTCAAAACACTCCGACAACTTCCTGTTCCGAGGGTCTGCCACATCCGGTGTTTGGGCTGTGACGACATCCACGCGCGACCGGATGACACGCTTCACACAGTGGACGCAATTTACTGATTTCTTCAAGTTTGAAAGCTGCAGGAAACATTTGGGGAAATGAAGGATCACAAACAACTGAGCTAAATACATTTAAAGCAAGTCTGGTTGTTTGTAGACCTTGTGACGCGGAGGCTGCTCATGAAGTGTCTTTAAATATGTCGAAAACCCAGCGTCTGTGGGAGAAACATCGATTATTGACGTGAAACCGCTTCAGTCTGTGTTTAACTGGATGCGATCCGCGGGTCTGTGAGTCTTGTAGAGGAGGAGACATCTGAGGAGAATTCAGATCCAGACTCCTGACTGAATCCTAACCATGAGCTCACCGCTATCCCACAATCCCACTCTACTTCTGCCAAATGACCCCTAGTGGCAAAGTTGCACATAGCACACGATCTATATAATGTGTGACGACAGCCTCACGAGTTAGTTTTTCTTGCACAGCTTTATACAGTCTATGGAACACAGGCACAAAGCAGTGACCTGACCTCTGAGCCAATCAGAGAAATGTTCACCTCATCGAGCTGATGATGTGATCATCGCTGAGACCTCTGCCAAGGTCCAGCAGTCTCCTTGAATTCACTCATAAATATAATAATAATAAAAACCCCTAAACACGCCTGTTTTTTCATCAAGATCCATGAATTATTCTATAAGTTAACTGTCACATGTTAAATAAGTGGGGAACCACACCAACGCTCTTCCCTGACCCGACCACACTGCTCCACCAAGCTCTGTTGTAATCTGTCCAGTAGTTTTTGTGTAGTCCTGCCAACAAACATGCAGAAACACAACATCCTCTGCAGAGGAAATAAGGATAAACTTTGTTGGATGCTTTTCCTCCTAACATGAGGAACTGTTGCTGCTGGGAGCCTAGAAATTATACCAACAGATTTTTCAAAATAGAACTTTAATTTGACAGAAGTTAAGACAAATCTGTGTGATTTTTGGAATTCTGATATTTTTGCTTTGTGAGGTCAGGTCTGTGTTACAGAATCTGGTGCAAGCGTCAGTACATTTTGTTCATGCGGTAAATGAAGTTGTTGAAAGAAATGGACCATGTTTCTGAAAATTGTACAAAATTGTTCTTTTTAATAAACAACCATTTTGACTCAGCTAGTTTTACATTATTGTTGAAGAAAAGTCTTGTTTTCTTGACATGGCTCCTCTTGTACTGTGCAAAATGCTGCTGGTCTCATGTGAAAAAAAAAAAAAAAAAAAAAACAACTCTAAAATTAACAGCAACCTCTGATAAAACAAAAAGTGCTCAGAACCGTCACGTATTAAACCAGTTTTCTGCTCGCTGGGTCAGTCCACGTCTGACTGATGTAAAGCTTTTAAAGAGCGGCACTGAAATATGAGAGTTACACATGAAATCAACTGTTCCCATCAAACTTGAAAATATCTCTACATTAGTGCCAGTTCCCAACAGCTGGTCACATCTGGATAATAGTAAAACTGAAACTGTAAGGCAGCACCAACATTTGCACCGAGTGCTTGAGGCAGTGACATGCTGTCGGATTATTCAGCCTGAGTCTGCTTTGCAGAAATTGTGTTTTTCATTTTCACAGGAGACACGAACAGGAGCGAGGAAATCTGCAGCAAATTAATCCCCTTTGGTCTGTAAACTAAGAGGCTATGGGAAACTCCTGCATGGTGTTCAGGTTTCCGCACATCCATATTCAAAAGCTAATTCGTTACATATAGTTACACAAAGTCTTATGTACAGAACAGGCGAAGTGGGCAGGTGCTGCAATGAGGAAAATAAACCAAACCCCGTCTGAGAAATGACTCACTGAAAAAAAAAGTGTAACCTGTCATCTCCAGTTGATGTTTTAGGGTTCTGAAGGTGCGACTGTGAATCATGATGGACAATATGACAGCTCCAGAAAGTGAAGCCAAAGAGTCTCCTTTCCCCCTTGTGGCTGGCTGCAGTATAGATCATAAATCCAGCCTCATCCATATTAGCAGATGGGACAAGGATCAAACAAAAACAATACACATTTAACAAAGTATCTGTCAGTTCATCTAGTTGTTATCACACTGATTGTTCAAGTGTTTCTGATAAGTTTGGTTTCAAGTGATGAAATGAAAAAGAGGTGATTGGTTTGGTGGGTGTATCGTGGGACCTTGATGGTGCGGCTCAACTCCACGATCACTACTGCTCTGGCTCCAGATGAAGTCGCCAGCACACGATGGAAGCATCGGTATCCAAGATATTTTAGCTCCATTTGTGTTTGACAGGAGGAAGTTGAGACACGGCGTCCATCTTTGTTTACAGTTCATGATCTGGAAGGTCACTGATCGGCTCTTCTCACCCTCTGAGGAGAAGCTACTTCACAATCATCCCCGTTTTTAACTTTAGTTTCCTTTGAACACTGAAAAAGAAACAATACCAACGGAAAAAACCTGTCGGCTCGTCTTACTCTGAAATGTCCTTATTGTCAACAAATCCCTAAATGATCCAAACAAACAATGAATGTCTCCTGCAAACACGTACAGTGTGTGAATCAAAGACTAGTGTATCTCTGCTGCCCCAAATACTCAGGAGGGCACCAAATTCTGTATCAATCCGTCAGTGAAAATAGTCCTAAACAAATGCAGTATATCCTCCTGTTAAAAAAACAGCTTTGTGCTACGAACAAACCGGTGTGTTTTGGAGCTGAGAGCTACAGATGGAGAAGTTGGAAAGCGTTGAGAAATAACACTTGGTTGGTTTTGCTTTTTTTGTGGCAATGGTTGACAATTAGAAATATCTCGATCACCAGCGTGCTTTATTTCTATTTAATCTGTTGCTACAAATCAAGATTTAAGGCTAAGCTTGATTCATGCTTGCTTCATCTTGTTGTCACTTGGTGGGCGGACTTCTTCACTTCCATGAGTATTGAGCTTTGAAGCTTTTCTCCAGTTTAAATGTGTGAAAACTGTTAAAAAACCAACGACTTTTGTGATAAAAAGTTCGTCTCAGTTCTGATGAAAATATGAACCCTGCAGTGAACTGTGTGTTTTAACACCTGTTTGTTTGTCAGTTGCCTTTTCTTGATTCAGGTTTGTAACATCAGTTTTTCAAACCCATGTCCTGTTTTGGATCTTTATCATATCCTCTCTGTCACTGCTCCTCATCTTGCTCCTCTTTCTCCGGCTTCTCTTCCTCCTGCATTTCTTCCTCCTGCTTCTCTTCCTCCTGCTTCTCTTCCTCCTGCTTCCTTTCCTCCTGCTTCCTTTCCTCCTGCTTCCCCCGACCCCCGTGGTTGCTCATCTCATCACTGCAGGGTTTATACTCATATGGGTCCGGTTCAGGATCCAGCTCTGGCTGGGACTCCACAGCTGTCTCCCAGTCCTCCTCTTCCTCCTCCTCCTCATCTTTGTCTGTCTGAGTGGCCTGGCTCTGGAGGAGGCGGAGACGGGCCATGGCCTGGTCAATGGTCTGCGTGCTGACCAGGTTGAAGTCGTGCATGCTGACCAGGTGCAGCAGGAAGTTGCGACACAGGTTGTGTTTGACGATGTGGGCGCCGTGCTGCTCGGCAAACACTAGACAGGCCTCGTTCATCTGGTTATCAGCAATGAAGCTGGAAGGAAAGGAAAAGAGTCAGTGTGACGGCTGAAAAAACAAAACAATGATCTTTTCTGATTACTGTGGAACAGGCAAATATAAAAACAAACATTGTTGAAGAAAGACCAGGGGCCTAACTTATGAATAACCATTGCGTACGCACAAAACAGGAGTTTTAAATTAAAATCCATACAGGAGATACAACAAGCTCACTGACAGTGTGAAGTGATTCTTTTTTTGCCTCCACCTTTGAATTGGTATTAACAGGAGCAGAGTATCGGTGTACTTTCTTTGTTAGTGACATCACTGCTGTGGCCACTAAACAATCTGTGCTTCTTCACCTCCACCTCACTAACAAACAGCACGATGTCAGAGAGTTGCTCTTCCTCTTCTTACTGCTTGATGCCGTGATTCACCAGAGAAACCCATTGGTCAGCAGGACAATTTTATATTCACGAGACGATTTCAGCAGATAAAACATAAGCATCTGGTTCTAGTGAACAGCTGGTTCAGTTTTATTTTTGGTTCCTGATTGTTTAGAAAATCCTGAATCTTTAGAGATGAAGCTGTTTTAGCTTTTTGTTACTTGCAAACTTTGAATGTTGAAACATATAAGATTTAATTTGATTTGATGCAGGTTTTATTCAAGTAAATATGCTCCTGGACCTCATCCCTACATTGTACTCACCCGTGCTTCATGGCGTGAAGGTTCCAGAGCTTCATGATCTCCTTCTCGCCCTCGTTGACGTCTGTGAACTCATCGATTTGCTGCAAGTGAGAGCGGGGAAGTCGAGGTTTTAGAAAAGTTTTTAGACACCGGAGAGAATATTAACAATCACGGACAGAGAGACCTACAAGTACTTCTTAAAAATTGGTCACAAATTTGTCTGTTATAAATACTTCCTCGTTAAATCAATGAACATGAAAGAAAAGTAATACAATTACAAATAGTTGATCAAGACTTAAGTTAAAATCTTGACTTGGCTGTAGTGAGCTGCTGATCTTCATATTTACATAATGTCTCCTGGATTACAGAAAGCATGACAAATTTGAAGATAAAGAAAAAGTATTGAAGTCAGGTTCTGACCTTTTTACATCTAAAGTCTATTTCAGACATGAACTCCTCTGTTCTGCTCAGATTGTCGCTGATATTTAGCCTGCGTAAAATTCACTCAGGAGGTGACGCATATGCAAGTTTCTCAAAACATGATGAGATCAGACATAAGAGATTGACAATCTAATGCAGATTTAGCAATCATGGAAAGTGACGGAGCTTTAAAAATTAAAGATATTTTTCTTCTGAAAATTCAAAATCACAATGTCGCCATTTCCCACTGGAGCTACTTTGTACTGAAGAAGAAACTCTTGTAGTAAAACCGAATGAGGCCTCCCCCCTCCTCAAAAATCCCAAATTATCGCTCTCCGGAACCGACCTTGACGGTTTTCTCTTTGAGCCAGTCAGGGTCCCTCTCGTCTTCGCTGTCCACCTCCATCTCCTGAGGCCGCAGAGGAACGCAGCTGTCACTGTGGAAGTAGAGGCGGTTGTGTCCGCTGATGTGCGTCCTCTGCTGCTCTTGGTCGCCGTCCTCCGACTCCAGAAACTCAGACAGACTTGGCTTCGTCCTCTTGGGTCTGGACAGAGGACAGAAAAAGGACAGTAGGTTGGTACCAGTACTGTTGGTTTTAAGTAAATAATTTGGTCAGAAAACCAGCAGTACCTGCAGACGACCACGTGGGTGACGGTGGTCCTCTTGACGGGGCCATTCCTGCTGAAGGCGAAGCCTGGCTGGTTGTGGATGTCCTGAGGATTTCCTGCGTAGGAACCATCATAACCATCGTTGATGGAGACTTCTATCTTTGCACCTTTAGGATGCGGCTGTAAAAGATCACAGAGAGAGTGTGTGAATTAAAAAGTCCAGAGCAGAGAAAAATACAGACTTGGTTTCTAAATGCCTAAAGAGTGTGTACATACATTTTCACATGTTGGTGATAAAACATGACCAAAGTATTGAAAAAAACTTTATATTAACTAAAAACATCTTCCTAATAACTTATGTTTAATTCTGTAGCTTTCAGAAAATTATAATTTTCTCATCAGTGAAAGAAAAAATAAATCACAAAATGTTTTATGTGTGTGATGTGAACAAATGTGGATTTATTAAGATATGTTTTATGGCATTATTCTTCCTGCACAGCGACAGTCCCTGTGCGTCTCACCACGTAGTTGAAGATGAAGCGGGAGTGGGACAGTTTCAGGTGTTTGATCAGACTGTAGAGCTTCCTGCAGTTGAGTGTACACCAGGGACAGTGGAGGTCGTCTCTGGCCTCCGTCTGCTGCCGAGTGTTGTTGTTGTACTGGAACTGGAGGAAAAAAGAAAGGGTGAATGTGAAGGAGTACAAACTGACACAGATCTGAAAAGTCTGAGCTCTGCTGTTTTTCTCTTGATTGAAACTCGAGCAGAGACGGACGCTAAGATGCTAAGATAAGAATTAAGTATCTCTAATCCCTCAGTCTAACACCTTCCCAACATACAACAACAAGCTAACAAAGGCTAGTGGAGGGAGCATGAAAAAAATGTCCACACATGTTGAGTGGTAGAGATGTTGGGATTTCTTCCTCTGAAGATGATAAACTTCAATAGTTTCTTCAGCTACGATATTGTTTTTTTTTTTTAATTGTTGAATATTATATTTTATACAGGCTGTAATTGGCCATGTCCCAAATCAGGGGCTGCATTCTTTGGATGCTGCATTTAAAGATCGAATGACTCACAACGCTCACTGTGGTTGAGCTTTTATGGGCAGCATCCGAAGGAGGTGGCCCATGAATTGGGACGCAGCTAAAAAGTCATAGTAATTATCTGTCAGTTACTGTCAGAATAACAATTATCTTAGAATGTATCTCACACTTAGCTTCCAGTCAGGTTTAAAGATTTATAACATGATATAACTTTAAAAAATAAATAGGTTGGACGTGTGAAAAAATTTGCAGGTATCAAGTCAGGGTGAAGTATTTCTAGAACAAGCAACATGTTGGCCAGCCTGAGGGGGCACTATTAAGCCCCTATATCACACCACATCTCACCTGACTATACAATGAGTTTCTAGAGATGTGTACTTGATGATAAAACAGTGTATTCCATCTGCAATAAGGTCACATACAAAGTCTGTGCTGAGAGAGACTTACCTGGTAGAAGATGCGTAACTTCTGTCTGGGCTCCGCTGAGATTTGTTCCCTTCTGGTTTGTACATCAGCGTTGATGGACTCTTTTAGAGCTGCAGCACCGACAAGGGAAACAGGATCAAAAACATTTAATTAAACGAATCAAATGTTTCACCAATGACCAACTAATGATATCACCACTGCCATGCTCACCCAGTGTCTGTGTCGCTCTCAGCGTGCTTGGTCTGGTGTCCTGGTTGGTCTCAGAGTTGCGGGTGGCCAGAGGTTTAGCCACAGGTGCAGTAGAGCGATCGGAGGCGTCACTGGTCCAACGCAGGGTGAACTGCAGCGTGGGACCCTGGGAAAAACTCTCAAATGGAGGCAGACGCTGCAAAGACAAACACAGCAGTTTTATTCATATGACCAATAACCAGATTATAGATTTTTTTAGAGGCATCATATAAATCATGTCTACTATTAAATTATTTTTGATTTGTTTGTTATATTAACTTCTCTGTTCATTTCACGAGACTAAGGGCGGAGCGAAGGGAGGTGGATACAGAACAGAACGGTACAAAACATGCAGACCATAACAATTCATTATACCAATACCACATTTTGTACCACTATTTACTCACAGTGTTTTATTTATTTATCGATTTCAGAATGTGCTGCTTCCAGTGAATCACTTTGAAACTTGGAATTTAAAAGTTGCCCTATGAATTATTACAATGATTCCCAGCTGATGTTGTTGATCTTAGGAGCAGAGCTTTTTTTTTTTTTTTTTTACACACAAACCTTTCCATCCAGGATGGTTTCCCAGGTTGCCCTCTTCTTACTAACAGGACATTCCTCCATCTCCTGCATCGACACCTCGTACTCTCCGTCTAACAACTGCAGACGTCTGCACAAGAATACATCACGTTACACACAGAGAAAATAACAACATGCTTTCCTGTGTTTCAGAGCAGCTTGTGTGCGTGTTTCACCTGTTTTTATCAAAGACAGTCATCTGAGCCACAAATGTGGCTTCCCCCTCCTCCCTGAGAGCAGAGCTCCTCCTCTTCCTGTTCACCACTTCCTCTGTAAAATCTGATACAGACACATATGTCACGCAACTCTGCTCTATCACACCAACATCGCAGATGATAGTAGGAGCTGGTATTAAGATGCTGGAGGATGTTGGGGCGTGCTCGGTTTGGCTTGACGTGGTTGGCTCAGTGCACAGCGCGAATGATAAAAATACAGGGAGGAGCAGTGAATTACAGCCAAAGTCGCGAAAAATTGTAAAATAAAAACATTTTCACGGTCCAAACATGTATGAAAAGATCCCAAATTAAGACTATAGGAGACTTAGTGGAGCTGTGCATGGCTCCCTGGGTGTCTGCCCTGGACCTGGGGCCAGGCTGTGCTCCTTCTCCCTCAGAATGTGAAGCAGTCCGTGGTCTCTGCGTCTGTAGCCAGGGACTGTATATGTTTACTTATCGCAAGTCATATGGTCTTCGCGATATTCTACAATGTTATAGCATATCGCATGTTTTCTGAATATCATGCAGCCCTACTTAATATGAACCTATTTAAGACTTTCACCCAGAACTATTCTTAGCCCCATGATTCAGATAAGGAAACAAAAAAAATACATAAAAACTTAAAATGGGAGGAAAAAGGAAGAAACTTTAAGAAGAGAAGAGATTGTTTTTCCAGGATGGAAAGACATGAAACCCAACACAAAAGAACAAACAAATGTGACTCATCTTTTTACAGATCATTATTGTTTTTAAATCTCTGCTGACCTCTGTTGTGGTGATTCTCTCCGTTGGTCAGGCCGTTGACTTGTGTTCGGGGGAATCCGGGCTGCGACACCCTGAACAGCAACGAGTAAGACTTGACCATGTGAGAGTTGCTGGGTTCAAACTCGCTGCTGGGGACCAGCAGGAAGGGGGAGGAGCCCTGCTTGGCCTGGACTCCAGCGCCCGTGTCCGGGTTCAGAGGAACCTGCTTCTTCCCTGTGGGGACCTGCTTCACTGGACAGCTCACATCCTGGAGGGAAGGGGGGAGAGGAAATGTCCGATGTGTTTCACTGACACCAACGCAAAGGATGAAAGTCAGCTGTGATGAAGCAGAACATCATAACACACACCTTCCTTTTCTTGTGACACACTTTGACCAGCAGCACCTCAAGCGACACAGAGTTCTGCTCATTCTCACAGTCCTGAGATGGTTTCCCTGAAGACAATGCAACACAATACAGGACAGGAGACTGTTAGTCGCACCAACTCAGAGGAGTAACTTCATCTAAAGAAGCCAAAAGGATGGCAGCTGATTAGGACAAACTTACCAGCTTTATGAAAGAAACCAGTGAAGGTGAGCTGCAGGTTAGAGGCCAAGCTGTTGGATATGAAGGTCACATGATCAGAATTACTTAAAACCAATTTCAAAATGTTTGGCTGTATTTTTACATTTCTTTAGAAAGAGAAAATATATCATATTCCAAAAAGGTACCTTAGCACAATGAACCTAGCTCCATTGTTTTTTATTTTGTGTATGTGCTGTTTGTGAAACCCAGTAATAAACAGAATAAAGAATTTGTGTTTAGGTCTATCTTAAAAATTGTTGACAGACTTTAACTGCAGGTAAAATTCAGAGAATTGGCTTCGGAGTTTACCTGCAGTTTGCCTTTCACACATTCACAACGCATGTACATGAATGGTCATGTGACGTCTTTTCAGGTGTGTTAGTGTGGACAGAGATTATTTCATTCTTTTGTTGAGCAGATGAACGAGCAAACACAGCTGAAAACATTTGGTCTATGGTTAAGATTAAATATATTTATTCACGTTTCATTCATCACTTAGTGAAATCCCAGATCATTACACATATCAAAGGTCAAAAAACAACAGGACAGAGTGTTTACCTGTGAGTCTCTAGCTCCCCCTTCATCCTCTCCACTTTGCACAGCAGATTGTCCACCTTGGAGCTTTTCCTGTGCAGACAAGCAGCAGCAGTTAGCAACCACACAGCACAACCAGCACCCCCTACTGACCCGCAGACAGATCCACAGGTCATTACACTGAGTGAGGCCAGTGAGGTCAGAGCCTTTACTTCTTCTGGAGATATAGTCAGTCCACAAACAAACAAATGAGTCACTTTCAAGTCAGCTCTATTCCAAACATCAGACTAGCAAGTCAATGAGCTAATTGAAAAAAAATGTAATACCCATAATCATTTAAAGGTTTAGTGTGTAGAATGTAGTGACATCTAGTTGTGAAGTTGCATGTTGCCGCTGAATATCCCTCACCCAGCCTGTGGTAGCCTTCAGTTGTCATAAAAACTCAAAAAGTTTGGATGACTGTAAAAACATTGTTGCCTCCGTAGAGAGGACCTGCTCCCAATATAAATATAGAGTATCTAAATAAAAGGCCCCATTCTAGGGTAAGGAAAACAACAATTTGTACAGTTTAGATGATCACACACTAGTGGAAAACATCACTAGGATTATTGTATATTCACTTTCTGCCAATAGATCCCTTTCATTTAAGTCTTTCACACTGGACCTTTAAATCATTTTTTCCCAAGAAAATGAAAAATGGTGGTTCTTGGATGTCAAATAAGAGAATTAGCCCATAATTTTTTTAATGTCAGGTTTGTATCTGCTGATTAGACAGGGCAGCTTTAAGCAGTTCACACCTGTCTGTATGTTTTAATTCATATTTTTAATCATTTCGGTTTTTCATGTGTTTTCTGTGCTGAATGTTTTCTGCTCAGACTCCATGAAAAGTGGCCTGATACAAAGTGGAACCAGCTGAGAAACCTGCTGTGGTTTACTTTTATTACCTTTGTGCTAAGTGTTGGAGGAGACAAAACATTTTACATTTGGATCTCACAATGAAAAACCAGAAGGAGATCTACATGTATTAGTCTGAACCATAGACTGTGTATTAAGTCTATGGTCTATACTTGTTTGACATGTTGGTAGATGGGAAATTTTGTTTGAATGCCATAAGCAAGCTGTGAATTCACGCTGGCATGAGCTACATGTGCTGGTTTGTGTGCTGAAGTGAAATTAAAACACAGCCTCTTGGCTCAAATTGCAGCCATTAGTACGCAGGGTTTAGTGGCCGCACATAAATCCAAGTTCTGCACAGCGTCAACCCGAGGAGACGTCTAATGAGCCAGAGTAACTGAAAACACCTGGGAGGCTGCAAGAAGCCTTGAAGCTGGATTCAGATCGCATTAGAAATGAATAATAACAGTTCAACCTCCACATTCATTCCAGTGATTTAGACTAATAAATAAAAGCTTTATTTTTACTGCAATGCCACAAACATCCACCAACGCACCTCATCAATCAAATCGCATTATCACATTCCTTCTACATTACTATGTAACATCAATGCCAATGACTCTGTTGCTTTTCTACAAGTTCAATTCCAGACATTTTTCACCTCCAAAGTAATACTTTTATGCTCTGGGTAATTCTACTCAACAAAAATGCATGGATTTGTTGATATTTACAGTTATAAATAACTGGAATCACGACTTTTTTATACCTTATCGGACCTTATTTAAGTAAACTGAAATCAGTGCTTTTCAAGCCTTTAAGACCTGCATTTACCCTCCAGCTGCCTTCTACGATTTGCTTACAGTTAAATAAAATGACGACAAAAAAAACACTTTCAAAGACAATATAAAGGAAACAACAGTACTTTGGCACACATCACAAAATCTTTGAAAGAGACTGTAAACTTGTTCAGCAACACAGTAAATAACCACCTCTGTGCAGAATGACTTACATGGCAACAGCCTCTGTTCTTTAAGTTTATATTTTTCATGTTTCATGCTCTGTGAAAACATTATGACTGTGAAGTGTTACAAATCACGATCTGTGTTTCATGTGACCAAAGCTGCACAAGTGCAGCACCAAATGAAACTGATAGGAGCAGCAGCAGCCTCACTTGTCATCATCTGGTTCACGCAGTAGAACTACTTCAAAATCAGACACAACACCACCTGACGGCGGCCATTTTTAGTCCCCAACCGAGGCCTGAGCCATGAAGAGAATCTACTGCACTACAGATAAGGAAAGCTCCTGTCTGATGAACGCATTTCCAAATAAAGGAAATTAAAAAAGAGATGACCTGATACAGTATTGTAGTATTTCAGATGTAGATAATTATTTGATTTAATTAATATATTTGTCCTTTTTAAATGTTTTTTGAGCATTCAATAAATCTATAAATAGTACTTTTAAATAGAATTCTGTTTTCTGAATGACAAATAATGTATCAGCTCATAAACGAATGTCACATTATCATTGGGAATCTACGGATGCTAGTGTCAAATCCTTTTGAGTTTTGTGACCAGTTCTAAGACTGAAATTATGATGGTGGTTTCAATAACTTATATTTCTGAAAATTAGTGTTTCTACAAAAGACAAAGTTGTAACCCCTACACATTCGTGTAGGAACACATCATTTAACAGCAACAATTATTTGTTATCAGCCAGCATTCAACATGCACCTACTTGTTCAATAGCAGCTGCGAAATATTACTTGCCAGCATTTTTGATTATGCAGCCCAATCTTTTCAACTATGCACACAACCTCCAGCTCTTAAAATTGAAATCAGAGAAGGTCCTCCGTCTTTGAACACACCACCCACTTGTGAAGAGTCTGTATGCAAAGCAGCCAAACTGAAAAGGTCTCTCCTATCTCAGCTTTAACATATCCAGCCTGTCACCACCTACAGCAGCAGACATGTGGGTTTACTTTCACTCACTCGCAACAGTTGACCAGCTTTCTATGAGTCAATCTACTTTAATCCAACTTCAAACAGAGAGACACAAAACCATAAAAAGACACAAGAAGTGAGTCAACCCAACAAACTGCGTCACAAAAAACATGTGGAAAACAGTCATGACTGGATACAAACAGTATATTTACTTTGTTTTTACCTTTTGACATTATTCCTTGAGTTTCTGTGGGACATGTAGGTGAGAGTCCTGTGCAAGAATATGGGCTGAAATGTAATGTAAAAGAAAAAATGTGTTATTGAGATATGTCAAGAGATACAGAAACATTTCCTCTTACGTCAGATGATCCAGTTAATCATGTGAGGAGTTTCCATCAAAGCAACTCACAGCGATTAAGTTCCTCGTGCGTAGGAACCTGTAGATTTGAGTTGGTTCTGTAAAGAAATATAGTTGTACCATCAGTAAGACTTTTCTTTACGAATAATGAATTCCTTTAATAGAGCATGTTGAATTTGAAACAAGCAAAAACATGATAACCCGAGTGCACTCTTAAACAATCATCCACCTGATGAATGAAAACTGTGTTGATAAGTTAATTAAAATAGCAGTTTCTGCATAAATCTTCTCTAATGTGAGGCTCGGCTTGTTTCTGCTCCTTATTCAAATTTTGGGTGAAGGCAACAGTTTGTGGTTTTGTCCAGTGTTTGATATTCATTAGCTCCATAAATAGATATTTAAAATAATCTGATAAAAAGAAAACACTACTTTGTTGCAGCACAATACACACGTGGTTAAACGGCAGAAACACAGTTTAGAATAGATTCATTATCCACCACATTTGCCTGGATTGCAATATGCACACAATGACACAGCATGGCAGCTGCACACTGTGTGAGATGAGAAGTCAAACATGACAGCACCATAACACGTGTGATTCATAGTGTTTCGTACTAAATGGTGGTTAGTGTCAGGTGCGACAGGACTGAGTTTGAAGTCACACAACTCTGCAAGTCTTCACCTCGCCGCCCACAGCTTCCTGTAACCTTGAGTTAAACTTCTAACACATGTTTTTTCAACACGCAGCTTGATGACAGCGGACACTCACTCTCGAAGGCCTGCAGGAACAACTCGTGGTCGGCTTGGATCTGTTGCATGTTGGGCTTCTTGGCTGGGGCCACCGCAGAGGAGGAGGAGGAGGAGGAGGCGGAGGACGCTGCCTGGTGAAACCCGTTGGCTTTTCCTCCGGGACCGCAGCCCACCGGGTGGCTCCCACCTGAGGAGCTCTGCTTGTGTGGAGCCATCGCCACAACAAATACACAAATAAATTAAAAAAAAAATAAAAATAAGCGGCCAAAGAAACTTTACCCCCACCTGATGTGGGAGAGCAACTCCGTTCCTTCTCCTTTGTCAAAACAAAAGAGCAGCGCTGGCAGAGAACCAGCCGCTCAGGAGAAACTGTGATGACTCCTCATTTCTAAACAAGTCGATGGAAGTTTCACTGAATCACATCGGACACTAGTGAAGACCCAATCTAAGGTTTTCCTTTAAATGCTCGCCTGAAAGTTCCGGAGCTCCGTGCACAGGTTTAAATTGCGCGAAACAAGAGAACAGCCTCCGGCAAGCTGACGCGGCTTGCTAGCTAACTGGCTAACTTCCTTAGCCAGCTAGCAACGACGCCGGGCTAACCGGTTAGCATTCTCCGACACTGTGGCTTCCCCAATTAACTCAGCGAAAGCTGCCGCTAATCGACAACTGATTAAAGCCAGAAATGAAGCACGTTCCCTGTGGTTTCGACGCCATCGTTTCACCAAACCTCACGGTACTTCTTGCCGGGCGCCTGTTTGCAAGTTAGGATAGCTGTGGTGGAAAGTAGCATAAAACAACACGGACGCTATCCGGTTTATATTTTCAAAATATGTTCTAATAAGAATCTATAATTATCAACTGCGCGTCCCAAGCATTTTTTGTGTGTAATAAACCTGTCGTTAAAAATCTCACGAACACGTCATTATGTAAACATCCCAATATTAAACGCATCGCTTGCAGAAACGTAATTTTACTTATTCGCGTGCTTTTATTTTGACGACAAATATCCGTTAACCTTTGGTCTAGCGGAGAACTTGACAAATGTAGGGTGACACTTCCACTGTGACTCGTGTTGAAAGAGCCCGCCTTCTCACAGCTCCAGCCAATCACCGTGCTTGTTTGTAAAAGGCTGCGCTCTGATTAGCGGGAATGTTTGTCCGGTCTCAGAGGCGCATTTGCCGCCTGCAGCTTCAGCATGGAGAGCAGCTCTAAATAAGGTCAGGGACCCAAGACTGCAGGAAAACCCACTGCATTACACTGGAGCTCATCAGCGAGGGAATGCTACTTAGTACAATATCAATATATCCAGTACAAGGTGTACAAGGAGGTGGATATATATAATCCAAATATTAGTGAAATAGCTAAATGGCCAAATGCAATAGCCAAATCACACCAGCTGCAATTTTTTATTTAAGTAAGGAACATGCTTGTTTCGTCCAGGCCCTGCAAAAACCAACATTGGATTTCTTTCTATTCAGTAAAAAGAAATATCTGTCCAAGATAGTTGCAATATGATTTTTATTTTTTGCTTGTTTTTTATATTGTTCAACCCTCCTCTGGAATGGACCTTCATAAGCCTTGGAATTAACTAAAAAGCAGTAACTTTGCATAAAATATATATATCTATACATACCCGGTTTTTATTTCTACGTATGTATATCTTTTATTTCAATTTAGTCTTGCTTGATTTTTATATTGCTATGTTTATACCTGCTTTTGCTCTATCACCTCTTTCTCAGGAGCTCGGTGACATTTTAATTTCTCTACGGGATTAATCAAGTATTTCAGATTCTGATTCTGATATTTATAACCATGTTATAGGGGGGCCCTTGGCTACAAATGTCAAATCAGCTGATGATTGTGTAAACACAACTTGTACATGGTAATAACTTCCCCCATTCTGGTTCAAAATGAGCACAGTGTGTTCTGCACATGACTGAACCTGACTCCAAAACATAATGAGGCCAAAAATAGCTCAGGAGCACACAGTTGAACTTACACACTTGTGAGATATATCTACCGTGTTACTGCACAATAACTAACCACTCAACAGATAAATCAGTATGACTGTTCACTTTTGATTTTTGTCAAAAAGGGAAACCTTGTGATATCGATTAATTGTATTCTTAGTTTACCTGCTGATGAATCATGTTAATGGTTTACCACTATAATACCAATTAAACTGCATAAATGTGACAATGTTAATTTAGTATTCAATCCGGTTTTCTGTCTCATGATGCTCCACAAGACTTTTTCTCTTTTATAGATTTTCTCCTGCAAACACAATTTTACCTTATTCTCACACTGAATAAAACACAATAGAACAGATTAAAATACATTTACTGTGAGGAAAAATGTAGCCCACGATGTTCCTCCCATTATTTAACATCATTTAATTTATTTAACTTAAAAACCACTCATTAAACATGACAGGGAAGTCAAATGTGGAAATTCAAACAAACAAGTGGGCAAAAGCAAAGTTCTGACTTATTATCCAAACATATTCCCTTTAGTAGAATCCATGGTTTGTACAGTAGTGGATGCAGTACAGACAGTAAGCAAGAACAAAGGAACAAGTGATCAATACGTCTGATTAAACACTTTTTTTTAAAACAGTGGGAAAAACAAGAGGAAATGACAGACTGGAAACACACACGCCTTTACACACACACACCGCACACACACCGCACACACACTCTGCAGTTCCAAAACACATTAGACAGCATAAGAAAAAGAACCACAGAGCAGATTAATTCGTTTCCCAGTGTTTGAATTTAGTGGTAATATTTTCTTATTCTACTGTTATTTTATTGTACAGCACTTTTTTAATGTCCTGTTTTTAAATGTGCTTTAGAAACGAGTTGGTTTTTAACCTCTCCTGGAACCAGGGTAAATACACCGCAAGTTTAACAGCCGCCACATATTCTCCTCAGCCTCGATCTGCCGACCACCTGCCTGACATGAGCTTTTTTCAGACATGAACTCTGGAAAATGTCCAGAAATGTTCTGGGGTTTGTCTTTCACATATGAAAAAAACATATGAAGATAAATCCTACTGTGGAAAGACCAGGTACCTGTGTAGGCCCTTCTATCACCACAAGCTCTTGAATCTCCTCGTCCTTTCAATTTGACCTCTTTGTCTGTGTTTTCTGTATGTGTGGCTCCTGTTTTTCATACTGAGATATTTGTATTCTTCCATAAATATGCCCACTTGCTTGCTGTGAATTTTCCGGTTATTTCCGTGCTGTATTCTCATATAGGCTCACTCGGACATTTTACTGTGGGGCAGGTAGGAACATTTCTAGAAAATGTCTAGAGCTACTAATTCAGACATTTGAGTTCTTACAGCCCCTTCAGAAAATGTCAGGAAAATGTCCAGACTTCAGTGCATGTCTGAAGCAACTATACATATTCGACAAGATGTTTTTTTCTTTAGACACTGCTCAGTGAACTTAAAAGCATCAATAGCTCCAGATAACAGACTTATCTAGTTCCGTCTATCCAAAGTGGATTTCAATATTATTATTATTCGTCTGTATCTGAGGAGAGAACAAACCAGAGATAACAGAGGCGACTGGACAGAGATAATTAAGTTGTGATGATGACAATGCCAAGAGGATGAAATAATTAAATCAATTCAGACAAATGTATATGTAAAAAAAACCATCATAACTGATTTGTGAACACAAAATAATCACATTGTGATATCAGGGTTAAAAAACGCAGTGGAAACTATTGTCACACTTGGCTTCTGTTAACAAATCAAAGGCTGTAAAATCTCTGGACATTAAATACTTTCAAGCTTGGCAAAGTAAAAGTGCAAAGTTGCCTTGAGAAGCAGCTGTGATTTCTGGTCTGTAGATGACTCAGGCAAGTTTAACATCCAAAAAACACAGACAGACAGACAGACGCAGCTCAACTACCGACAAGTTTTCAGAGACAAGATGTCCTTATGGAGCTATACTCCTCGGTTTAGTTTCTCTTCAGTGCTCCTGACCTCATCTGGGACATCTTCATTGAACACACGTCATCTTCAAGTGTGAACAGCTGCATGAATCAGACTGTCCCTGTGCCAAAATCTGGAAGGAAATTAGCCTAGGTAATGAAAGATATCCCGCGGCAAAACAACATTGACTGGCAGCAGTTGCCCAGGTCGGCAAGGTTTTAGTGTTTTCTCCACAGTATGTACATCATAAGCAGGATGAGGCCTGCAGACAGGGCTGTGATCACAAACTGGTGGATAGAGAGGAGGTTCTCCAGCGTGTGGATCCTCTCCTCCATGGCGCTGGTATGGAAGTAGTCATAGATACCAGCTCCAATGCTCCACAGCGCCCACACGGCATCTAAGACCAGCGGCATGGTGAAGCAGACGTGGGGGGGGGGGCTGAAGATCCGACGTCTCCGTCAAAGGCTGGAACAAGAACATGACACAATTTAATCTAAGGTCAATGTTGAAACATTTGCAGTAGAGTGAAAGTTTAAACTCCCCATTGTGGTGTTGTTGCCAGAATTCTTACTTCCATTAGAGCCATGTCTCGAAAAAAAAGACACTGTCACATCGGACAGAAACTTAAACCAAAAACTTCGTTTAGTCAAGTTCTACAAACTGTCCACAGATTCAATAGGTACAAAGTATTCCTATTTTATTCTTGTTCTATTATTGTATATTTTGTTGCAAATACATATTATATTTACATTTTCATTTATTGTTATTCAGGCCCAGATCGGCT